GAACTTGATCTTCTTGGAGGTTCCCATCTTTCACTTCAGAATGCCTCTGGGTGAGAGCTAAAGCCAACTAGCAACATGTTTCAACGAGGTGTGCATAGTGCATACTCAGCTTCAGATCAACTATTAGTTTGCTGTACCTGAATCATTGATGGCCATCTCTAAAGATATCCCAACATATCCTAATTGACTGTTTGGAATTTGGAAGTTACTATCGGGACCATTCTGCGAGCTGGAACCACGAATGGTCGACCAATCCGGCCATTCGACCACCCTTTTTCCTTCATTCATTCGATTGACCGCTTTTCGACCCCACTGAAAGAGTCTGACCAGCTCCGCGACACTTCTTGACTTCTCTCCCTCCTTGAGTTCTTTATTTAAGAACTCAGGGACATCCCCAGTTGTGGACAGGGTGAAGTTCAATTACAGATCCACCTGGTCGATCTTGGGTTTTCCCTGTGACAGTGTAGAGATTCCAAGAAGCCACATCCTTCTGGATGCGTTTCTTCTCCAACACCTGCAAAGCTCCTCAAGGCGGAAGAACCAAAGGCAGAAGAATCAAGGTGAAACGGCCGAAACCTGGTACCCCTTTCTGTACATCCCAAACTTGCATAACAGGTTGCCTGTGGCCACCTCGTATCATGCAAGGGCTGGTGTATGCCCATGGTGATACCTGATACCAACAAGTCCCAAACAAATCCATGCGCATCTTCTGGAAGGGGATGCCTAAGACTTGTGCAATCACTCTTCTCATTCCGTCTTGGCACCCAATGGTTGTGGACATGTATCTACAAAACTGGTGTCATTGTAGTTGCTCATAGTTGCTCCTAAAATTAAGAGACGATGCCAGTTCCTGGGCACCCGGTACCCAAACAAAGGGTCTGCATCCATGACAATCAAACGTATTCACCGAGAAAATGATCAAACATGTCCTTGTCCTGTCTCTTTCCACCGGTTTTTGGGTTGTGTGCATTGTGCATGTTTTTCCAGGGCCACCTTCTGCTTGCAGGTATGACCTCACCAAGGCTCCAAATGCAAACAGCCACGGTTGGCCCCGGATTGCTTTGGTCCATTCCACAGCAGTGCTTTCCGAGCACTGCAAAGACTCCCACCATGATGCCTCGGAGTTGATCATTTACCAAACAACCATTGTGTTTCTCAGGGCTTCAGACTGCAAAGCAAGGTAACACTTTATTTTGATGGTAGGTAGTAGAAGCTTGGGGAAAGGTAGAGCGTGATGCTAACAAATCAACAAAGGTGGTTCATTATGGTTATTCATTTCCCTGGTGTGTGTCAACCCTGATTGATCACTTGCCGTTTACGCGATTCTCCCCCGAACCGACGTCCAACTCCACCCTGTTTTTGTTTTCACAGGAGAAGGAGCGACAACATGGTGAGTGAAAGGACATCTATTGCTATGGACACTGCTTGTTCCTTGCAAAAACACAACCTGCTGGCCTGCTGGGTCTTTCTTTAAGGACTCAGGAAGTCAATTTTTTTCTAGCCATCCTGCCACTACCAACAGGCCAAACCTGACTACATCGTTGCCCGCAATTGCCACACCCGCCACCTTGACACCGCTTCAATCTAAAACTGCCCAGTCGCCCGGGTTGTGCTGGTCGACAGGATCGACGTGTCCAAGCCGCGAGGCGGTCGCATAAGATTGACCTTGGTACTTCAAGATCAGGTGGTTTGTTCCCAGGTTCTCTACATATGTTTGTATAAACACGTATGTATATATATATGTTTATGCTATCCCCCTCTCCAGGTCCCCACGGTTTTGAATGATATACAATGTTTCCATGAGCATGCTCATTATTTTCCCAGGCTGTGATGATCAAATATTCTGAATTCTTTGGAACGTGAGCACTTGTTGTGATTGAACTGCTTCCTTGCAAATGCTTTGGTTTTGAACTTGAATGCTGGCCAGTTCGAAGGATTTTAACCTTATTCTGTCTTGAAATGTCTACTCTTTGTACACATTGGGTTCAAGACAAACCCAACTAAACCTCGAATCAGGGTCTCACATGACCTAGTGAAAGTTCTTTGAACATATATGATAGGGGTGTACAATGCCTACATCCGCCTTACATCTCAAGTCTTCACCCACTTCCACTGGTGGCTCCTTAAAAACACATGAGGTAACATCATTTGGAATGTCTCTTTGGGTATTTGGGGTTGATATGGACCTACTCAGGCATGCATTTTGAGCTTGTAAGCAATAACAAACTGTCTTGGAAACAAGGACACTGGATTTGGGCAGATTTCTTTGCTGATCTACTGGCAGGCTCGAGCCTGCCCATGTTTGTTGCGTCAGAATCACCCAACTAGATGCCAACCCCAAAACTACCCGAGAAACCTGCATGCAAACCACTCCTGGCAGGCGATCCACGTTTGCCGCACGAACGGTATCTCAGAAAGAGGGTCTCGCCCTCTTTGCAGGGAAGGCTTCATTGGTCCTTTGTCCATTGGCTGCATCTTTCCTTTCATCAACACGAGCTTTGAAGTGCCCATTTTGCTTTCGGAGTGACCTCCCTCACCAGGGCGACAATGCCCCAGAGTCAGGTCACACGGCGTGTGGGAGTCCGCAGCAGTGCCCGCAACGCCCAGTCTACATGGTGCTGGGTGTGCTACATCGCCCCGAAGAACTGAGGCTTCCATGCAGCGAGGGGGCCCTGTACCAAAGATGAGTCGGGACCTGCATCACCTGTATCAGTATCATAGCAGTGGAAACAATGCTCAAATGGTGGGGATGGTCCAGCCGGGACAAATCACAGGAAAACTCTTGATGGACCGGAGATGTCAAGAATCTCAGGCCAAGTCTTTGCTAGGTCGTGCAGCAGAAATTCCAGAATATCAGAATGATGTCTTAGGTTTGGGCATTGTCTCAGGAGCGTGTTCAGCATGTGAAACTGGGAAATAAGGAAAAGGGGAACGTGGGAACGTCGGGCTCATTGGCAAAAGCAAAACTTACTTTGACCTGGCACAGGCCAGATTGATTCTTACATTCCTCTACCGAAATCCAGTTATTCGTCCACTGGCCAGGTGAGCTTCGTTTGCAATTCAGAAAGAACTGCTTTCCTGGAGTGGTAGGTTTAACGTCTCATGCGCCAGCGCGAAAAAACTTGCACCTCTGTTAGATCTGATCTGTCTACGGTGGCTGGGGGTCCAAGTGGTGCAAGAGTTTTTCATTTAATATCTCTCAGGCACCGTGGTACATTGTCATTGCATGTCTTGCCCATTGACACTCAAATTTTAATAGACTTTGCCTCAGGATGAGTGTCAAACCATGCACGGCAATAATATGTTGACGTTGGGAAGGCCCCCTGCCTGTACTGCGCTTGTTTCGCGTTTTTTTTGTTTCGAGCATCACGGCCACTCTTTTTTGAGGCCATGCGGTGCATGGCAAGTCCTTAGCTCATCCAAAGAAGACTTGCACAACTTCAACTTGAGAGAAAACCCAACTGTAGGATTACCCTTACAAAATGATCTAACATGTGGGCTTGTCTCACCCTCCAAATTTCAACAGCCTTCTCTGTGGAAACTCTTCTCGATTCTTTGAGATGGACATCCAGAAAAAAAGAACTTTGCACTGGTCCACGATCTGTGAGACTCCCCCTGTTGCAGTAACTCTCCAGTCAACTCTCCCATGCAAATCCCGATCCTACCTGGACCTGAGAAGGCTGTTGCAGCTTGCTGGTAGCACTTGTTTCCTTACCCACTCCTCCCACTGTTCTGTTTTTCCAAGTCTATTGCTGTTCGATCATAAGAAGGGTTCAGGCCAAATCCAACATCATCCCAAAACTCTAAGCAAGTTTGAACCCAGTTGCGCAGGGACTTGTAGTGATTGGGGAACCCTAGGGTATTAATTGTGGATTTAGATGGGGCAGAAACATGTCTTCAGTTATATAAAGAAGAAACGTGGGATCCTCAAACTTCAAATCATCATGCCAATCTCCCACGACCAACTCAACAGGCCATAAACCCGTTGCTTTAGTGGCCAAAAACGGACAAATCGTATCAACTCGTCCCATGTTCGACCACAAAAACGATTGAGGCCATGCGGCCATGCCAGGATACAGCACCAAAGAGCGCGTCAAAGAGGGAGCAGCGAGTCAACAAGACCGACTTGCCCAGCTTCGCTGACGTGCCAAGGCTCAACGTTCACAGGCTTTGGCGAAGAGTCCAGACTGCTTCTAGATTGTCCAAAGACAAACTTCACGTCTCCGTCTCCAAAGCCTCGAAGGACAAACGTCCGTCCATTTGCAGTCGTTGTTCATCGCTGTTTCATTTTTGTGATACCTTTCAATTTCTAACAAACAAAGTTACAATGTAATGTACCTGTTTGGGTAGTGCCCATGATTTTATACATTTGTAACATCGGTGAGCTTTTGGAGAACGGTGGTCTATGAAAAGAAAAGGACCATGGCACGCAGGGTTCACCTGTCAACTCCCTTAAAACTTGGGTTTGAAGTTCGAAGTGTGAACTTCGCACCCAGCAAGAAACCAACAGTTAAACTTTTAAACCATAAAAGACTCCATGTATGGAATTTATAGAGCGTCTAGGAACCCTCAAGATGTACCACAGTCATGTTTGCCGTCCCCCATCTCCAAAAACCAATACAACTGTCTGAGCAATAGCAAGGTCTGCCATAGTCAATCAGCTCCAAACATTCACCAAACACCTGACACTCGTGTGACGCGTTCGGAGAAAACAGACCGTCTGGCCGCCCCCAGTTCCCAAATCGACGACGTGTTGAGTGGATCCAAATAGCCCACCATGGTGGCCATAGCAGCTTCCACCCGTGCAGAACACCCGTAGAACATCCTGCAACCCTGTGCGATCCTCACATTTGGGGGTTGCAAATGTTGAACTGTACACGGTAAAAACACCACTGGGACAAATGAACCAAATACTGATCAATCTGTTCTTTCTACCTTCTGATTCAGCTTAGCTGCGCTGCTGACTTCGCACTGGAGGACGGGCTCCAAAAAATCGCCGGTCAGCGAGCGCTGTGCCTTGGACGCCTTGTGCCTTGGATCCCCAGCTGCTCCAGCCGTTCCAACAACCTCACCGTGGCCACGGTGACCGTGGCGGCTCCAGTGGCCGCGGCGGTGGCCTCGGAGGGGGCTTGAGGATGGTTAGAGGATCTGCCACCGGCAAACAAGATGATCTCAGGTCATGTCACCATTTGTAACAATGCCTCGCTGAACCCTCGCTGCCAAACCAATTCCACTTGCGAATGGAGATGCTTGAAGCCATGCAGGATTTTCATCTTGATAGACTCAGGACAAGTTTGCAGCAACAAACACACTGGAACACCTGAAGCTTTTGATTTGGGGACGACTATGAGATTCCTCTGAATGGGGTGACATCCCCAGAACGACCACCAGGGCCAGACCATGGGAACCACAAAGGGCTTGGCAACCATCCTCTCTACCAGGTATGAGATGATAAGCATTGACCCGTGCCTAGCCAAGTACACTGATGTACTTGCTTCCTACAATTCATCTTCTTACGCAAATTTGACCCTGGTGGAGACGAATTGTTCTCAAGACGTGCAGGCATGCTCTACAGTCCCATGTCCAGCCTGTTCCAGACTTCTCCCATCCCAGTTCCGCCCTTGAGCACTGCCCACTACCTGCTAGTGACATATGAGATTGCAGTGGCACTCACGGACTGACTCTCGCCCTCGGGAAGTGCGAGAAAAAGCGCATGCCGCCATTCAGTCGCCGTCCTCGGCTCCGATTCCTCTTGGTTGGCAACCAGCTAACAAAAGCACTCCGAATCTGCGAAGGGAAAAAAGAACACATGTGTCCGTCCATGTTTCCAAAATCTTCTTTCCCACCGTCCAGCTTGGAAATATGTGGGCTTTCAATTCGTCTGGTAATTTGGCTGTGCTTCAGGAGGCTTCAGATCGTGGTGACCAACCTTTAGCGATTCCCACTTCTATGGATTCTATGGACATTTCTTGAACTAATTTTGCCAGCTGTGTGAGCCTGGCCGCCTTGGCCCTTTGGCTTTCAAATTTTACGCCCGGCCATCATAACCAGCTGGCCAAGTCTCTGGCAAGCGCCTACTCCACAATTCACGCTGATGGCGTCTGCGACGCATCGTCCCAGCAAATGGAGTACGCGTGGCCAGCGCACCCAGGCCGTGGCAGTCGTGGCCTTTTCGCATGCACTCCTCGGCCGAGATTGCACGGCAGCCAGCTTTGTTCGAAACGGGGAGTCACACGGCAAAGGTAGTCCAAACTGACTTGGAAGACTTTGTTAGGATGTGGGATTACCATGGATTACCAGCAATCTCTGATGCAAGTAATTAGCAAGCTCCAAGTTTCAGCATTAGATGAGTTGGAGATTGAGACTGAGATGCTATTGTTTTTAGTGCAAAGATTCTTCAATTTCAATCACAGTATATATAAGGAATGGCTTTAAGCGGGCCAGGTTTTGATTTCTGATTTCCAGCCCGTTTGCCATACTCAACAAGGGAACGACTTCTAGCATTCATGCGTACTTACACTGTGAGACATTTGTCTCTGACCAACTCATTTGTGCAGCTGCAGCTTGCGTGCACCTTGCGGACAGCTGAAGCTACAACAGGGGCAAGAAGTATAACAGGTGGTGCATGGTAAGCCGGTAAGACACAGCAGGTTCCAAAGAGTATTTTATGGTAAAATCCATTGCTACCATATTGCCGTGAAGTTGCAGACTAGCTTAGGCATTTTGACTCTGCTAAACCGGCTTAGCATGAAGTATGGTCTCTCCGCCTCAACCTGTTTTGACCGCATTGATTGGTGCGGTCTGTGAGGAGTGGGACTCGTGCAAAACTCTTCTGATCTAGATTCTAAATGCTAGAGGTCTCAGTCAAATCAACGACTGAATGTAAAAGAAACATCGGGTTTGGTCTACCGGCCGTGACTTTCTGCTGTAGAGGTTTGACTCATCTGGATGTGGATCAAAAAAAGAATCGCCATTGAATCACCTTGGAACAAGAGATATTATTGGTGAATGTATTCTACCAACCGTTGGACATCTACAGTACTCCAACCCACATCACTGGAGGACCAAGTCTCAGCACTGCGTTCTGGACCACCAGGTTGCCTTCAGAACTGAAAGGGATGCTTGGAATTGCTTGAACGAAAGCACAGCAAGGACCCTTAACTGATAATTCTCAAAAGTGGTAAGAGTGCAAGAGGCTGTCATCACGAAATGGCCATTCATTGACTTCCCCAAATTTATAGAACCTGACCCCGTGGCACAAACAGTAAGGGAACGGAAACACTGGGACAGGAGTGCTGATTGTTCGCTTCTGGTGGTTCTCATGTGGTACGATTCCCCTTTCCAACACAGCCTTGCAGTGATTCTCCTTCGAGGTCACCCAGCAGCTGCAGGCATCGTTGCCACTCCTGCAGCGACTTCTCACAGGCACTGATGCCGCTGCCATAGGTCACGAGCGTGCGCTGCAAAAGCATCTGGTGCACCTCATTGACCTTCGGCCACCGACTGGTCAAAGCTGTGTATGACTGTATGGCCTCTTGGTGCAATATGAGCTCCGTCTTCCCCCACACTCTGCTATTAAAGACATTACTAGGACCATCTAGGACCCTTGTATTGTCAAGGCTTCGAGATCCTTATCCTGCCTTTGTGCAATTCCTGTTCACATAGTTCTGAGTAGCCGGTAGCCAACATGCAACTGACTTGGATGGATTGGTGGCGGATGCCCGCAAAGATGGACTGCGAAGGTGCGAGGCTACTGCAAGCTGACAATATGAATAATGTATATATAAACATGTCTGGCATGTCCAAGCTACAAGGTGCAAGGCATTTACCCACTCTGCTGCTTTTGCACAGGCACTGGCCACGGCATTGAAGGGAATTGTGCTCATGAGTATTCCGTCATTGCGCAGTAGCTGAAATAGCTGCCAAGCTGAAAGCCACTGGTTCTCACATGCAGTCATGGCTGCACTGTACGATACGATTGTCGTTTGCAGCTGCTGCCACTTTGCGCCTTAGTATTTATTTTTGGACAAGTTTGAGATGCTGTTTCAGGCTGGGTCTAAAGCTCTGGCAGGTGGGGGAGTTCCGGGGTTGTGCGCACGGTACTTTGAATTCCTTCTAAACAATCAGGGATCATCCTTCCAGAAATTCTGCATCCCACCCTATTTACTCGTCTCTTGTGAGCGCCTCTGTTTATCCGCTTTGATGCATGGGGGGAATTGCGAAAAGAAAATAACCGAAAAGAAACTAGCCTCCACCTGCTAAGGTTCCAGTATGTTTCAGTTATAGACCCTCCCCTCATGTCCACGCCCAAAGGTCCGCAAAACCACTGCGAGGGGCACAAAAAGATCTGAAGGGCATCCTTCCATCGTCGCACTTCTTCGCAAGCACTCGTGGCACTGTTGAAGCTGATGATGTCCGATCTCCTGGTTGATCCAGTTGATGCAGCTGATGAAACAAACGATGCACCATTCTATACTAGCTGTGAACAACTCCTTTCCTTCCGAAGTTTTGAATCAATCTTTGTAAGCATCTGGTGCATTCAATGGTGGGATAAACATGAAAAAAACAAGCAATCGGTTTCAGAAGGTATAGATAGGATTTGGTGCAACAACTCATGAGGGCATCACTCCCGAAAAAAACATGAACATCCACGAACATCCTGCACTTGGCCTGTTTTCATGACTAGTCTCACGGTTGATCATCGAAGGGTGATTCGTGGAATATTGGACTGGCGGGACTGAAGGATCATGCATCACTCATCCACATGTCAGTTTTGGGGTCTTCAGTTTACTAGACCATAGATGTTCTGCAATTTTCAAACACAAGGTAGCAAAGATGTGGATACTCACAAGATAAAACAATGACACTGGCATTGGGAAATTAACAAACAAACTACGCCTGGACCATCCAATGGGTGTCCAACGCAAATCCCTAAACAGTGTAGGGTAGTACAGCCAGGACACCCAAACAGGATGGTCTTGGTAGCAAACTAGTTATTTCCGAACATACACTCTCATCAAATTCTGTAACCAGGAAATGAACCTGAAAGGTTGTCAGTAGTCCCGGGACTCGTTGTGCATCGATGGCCTTGCTTGAACAACTCCCTCGGAGACCCTTCAGGGCGATTCTGCATGGATAAACATCACATTTGCATGATCTTGTATGCGCAGGTCTTCTCCAAGGGAGAGAGCATCCATGCAAGTTGCCAAGAGTTCCAACATACGTTGTTTCTGCATTTCCTGGTCCTGGTCCCCCTGTTTTTCGCACATGTTCTCATATTTCCTCACTCCGACTCCTTGGTGCAGCACACCACGCACCAAAAAATTGCCGGCCATGCGTCGTCGTCGATGAGGCGAATTGCCGTAGCACAGCCACGGTGGTGTGCCAAGCATGGGCGCCACCGCAGGCGCTCATGGCCGAACTCATAAGGATAGCCTTGGATCAAATGATCAATGGCGAATTCACTGTGTAAATGGAATGCATCTGGTTAATATTGAAGGGAACAAAAACAACCTACATCCCCATCCTGACAAGGGTTTTCTTTCAACGTTTGAGACCCAACAAGTTGGGACAAGCCCCTTCCATTTTTTCATCAAGTTGTTGATAAAAACCATTACGTCTGATTTTGTAAAGACGTAAATTACACCAGCATCGACCCAGATAGCTAGGCAGAATCCCAAGACCTGTTGACATGCGACTGGCTGGAACAAGAATGTACGCAGCCAGCACAGCCAGCTTACGGCACCTCCACAGCGCGCACAACCAGCTGACACCAGCACCGGTGCGCTTTGCCAGCTGACAACACCGGCAGCGGCGCCAGCACCCGACCAGCGGCGCCGCCCGTCTTAAACGCGCGCTCAGCCAGCTCACAGCACCAGCACCCAGGACCACAACACCAGCACCAGCACCGACACCCTTTCGAAAGCGCGCGCAGCCAGCTCATTCCTATTTGCAGCAAGAACCCCATAGCTATCCCTATTTGGGGAATGCGCGTATAAGTTTATGCACACAAAAGTATGCGCGCAAACAGCAAAGCCCGTAAGTGTCAGTGGCCCAAGGCCAAGCAGTATCCAGCGCCACTATTGATTGTAGCATGCTTGAAGCAACGATCTGTAGAACGGTAAGGCCGTATGATCTTGCGCGTATAAGTTTATGCGCACAAAAGTATGCGCACAAACGGCAAAGCCCGCAGGCTTCACTCGCCCAAGGCCAAGCACTATCCTTGTGAGTTTAGATGCAGCCAAAAAGAGTGACTTGAAAACAAATTGTATATTTTATATTTTTATGACTTCAATATGTTTTCGTTTATGTTTTTCCAAAGTGGTGTTTTTTGTTTATGATATTTTTATGATTTTTTTTATTTTCTCTTTTATGTTTTATTTCATGTTTTTAATATGTTTTGTTGAAGTGCCTTTTTCATGTCTTCCCTTTAGCGTTTGTGTTTTTCTCGCTATCTTTCGGCAAATTCACCAATCGTTTTTGGCCTGTGGTTGAAGGTCCGTTCAAGGTTCTTGGTTTGCGAGCCAAATTTATATCAAGTATGCAGAAGGTCTGCAAAATTTCATGTCCGTGATGTGATTGATAAGGGCTAGTGTAGCTCAGGACTCGCGAGGGCCAAAGATTGAAAAAACGGAGACAGGCGCTAACAATTAACGACTGAATTGATAGGATTCTAAATCTCAGACGTGCAAAGTGTCACGTGGCCTTGGGCCAAGGGCAAGGTTTCGCGGAATTACTTGCAGCTACGTTGGTATAAGCCACCAGGCATTTAGCAAATAGAAGCAAGGGAATATCAATGGCAAGTTCTATGCTGGAGACACGGTGCAAAAAACAAAGCAGTGCGCAAGGTTTAAAGTGTTTGACGCCTTTAAGCCTTTAAGGTTTCAGTTTACGCTGATTCCCTCAAGCCTGTGAAGGCTGTGCTGTACTCAGGGCCACAGGGAAGGAAAGGAACAGGACTTAGCGTTTGCTCCCCTGGCTAGCTCTAGGTGACCTCCCACCTGCCTGGGACTTCGGAAGCGCCAGCTCTGGAGGGGCCACTGCGCAACCTGCAGACCTAGCCGCCACCTTCCCAGCCACCGCGCTGCGTCCTACCAGCCGCGGAGGCGCGCCGCGCGGAATCATAAAAACTAGACGACGAGTGGCCCGAAAGCATTTTTCATCACGTAGGAAGTCAGAGTGTGAGTTATGTGTTAAGTGTTCAGTGTGAAGTGTTAAGTCGAGTGAGTTGAGGCAGTGTGTGGGTCTCTGTGTGTGTATCTATGTCTGTGTGTGTATGAGTCCCTGTCTGTGTGTGTGTCCGAGTAAGTTGAGGCAGTGCGTGGGTCTCTGTGTGTGATGTGTGTGTGTGCGTGTATGAGTCCCTGTGTGTGTGTCTATGTCTGCTGCTGGTGAAGGTCTTCACTCGAGATATAGTGAACCAAGTAGCGCGCAGGCCTCCCAAACCCCCCACCGGCGGCCAAGGGGTGACAGCTCAGCTCATCGTCGTGAGCATTTGAGCTGCTGGTAAAGGCAAATAAAGCACACAGCTCTTCTGTCTGGGAGCCCGACCCTCGCTGAGTGAGAAGCAGGAAGCAGCGTGCATGCCTCCAGGAAATCTCACCGAAAAAAGCGAGCTGGAATGAACATAGAAAATTGCTGAGGCAGCGTCCTACAGTTGTACTCCTACTGAAGTTGTACTACAAAGTCGCCAGTTCTCATCGTCCAGCTCTCCAGACAAATACTCTGCGTACTAAAGTTCTACTACAAAGTCGCCAGTTCTCAGCTTCCAGCTCCACAGATTGCTCCG